CGCCCACGCCCCCCCCCCCCCCCCCCAGTAGACCAGGGACACGTGGGCAGTGGGACCACCGAGACGCTCAGCAGTCCCACCGCCCGCGTCCTCCGCAGCTTTGCTCCGCGTCTCCCTGGTCTGCTGGGGGACCTCCCCCAGCAGACCAGGGAGACGTGGAGCACCTTTTCTCGCCCCGGAGGATGCGGGCGGCGGGACCGTGGTGCATCTGGGCGGGACCGTGGTGCATCTGGGCGGTCCCGCTGCCCACGTTCTCCGGGGCGAGAAAGCCCCGTTCTTAAGTACGGATCCAACGTAAGTCAGATCCACGTAACCCAGGGACTGCCTGTATTAATATAAGATTTTCAATTAATGTTCTTTTGTTTAAAAATAAAATTTGCTATTTTAAATAGCCTAATTAAGTTTTCAAGTGAAAAGACTTGGAAAGGAGAGAATTTTTACCACTGCTACATTTGCTGTTATTCTGTGGCTGGAATTTTGGAAATAGTCTTCTGCAAAACCTTTTGCAGGGTCAGGTCCCCCACACTAACAGATTGACCCACTGCTGGCCACAATTGCAAGAGGTCCCACTGAACTGGCATTAAAACATTTTAATTCCTAGTATAAATGGCACAACGTGGGTTTTTTTTCCGCATCACTGATCATGCATTCAGGAATGGTATTGAAAAGATCTCTCTTCATTCTACAGTAGCAGTCTAATCTTTTACAACAGCAATTTGAAGTCTCTGATGATACCTGTTGTCAGCAGTGTGTCAAATTCCTACTACAGACCGGGCAAGAGTCCTTTTTATAAAGCTTAGATCTCCATATAATAAAGCAAGACTTTTAAGTCTGTCTGTAACCATCCATATGTCCACTAGCTTAAAAAGGCAGTTTTTGGTTGATGGTGAAAAACTTGAACTTACTAATCAGTCTTCCTGAGTCACTCTCTCTTTCCATCTTCCAGTCAGAATAAATAACTTCACCATCCTGTGATGCCAGAGAAATCAGATAAATGCAAACTGGAGCTGGGTGAAATATTTACATAAATGTTGTAGTCAAAATGTGCCTATTTTTAGTTTGTAACACTGGAGTCTATTAACATGACTGCAAAAATGGGGAAAATGTTCATATTAGTTTATCAGGCTTTGTGTTGGGTTGTTTTGATTTTTTTTAAAATTGCAGTTTTCGGGGGGGAAAACCCTCAACTATCAGCATTTACAGGGTATTCTTCATGTAGAGATGGAGTAGTTTACATGTGGTATGGACCTTGCCCCATGATTTTAGGAAAGGGTGGCAAGAAAAAAAATTATTTCAATGGGAATCCCAAAATGGAAGAAATGCAGGAAATATTTAAGACACCTCTTTAAATTGTTCAGTTTGGCAGTTAGATGTGGTTTAAAGGGGTAGAAGCTGGAACAATGGGCTTATTTTTAATACAGGACTAAATTCGGGGGGAAATTGAAAATATGATAAAGCTTTCATTAGACTTTAGGGAAGACCCTGCAATCGATATTACTGCCCTAATGGTTCTGGCAATGGAAATAAGGACAGTGTGTGTGTTCCTGGTGTTAAGAATTAAGTTCAATATATTTTGGCTGCGATTTCCAAAGGAGCTGAGGGGAATGAACTGCCCAACTCCCGCTGACTGTCAAGTGTATGGTCCAACAGTCTTTTAAAGTCAAAACTGTAAATGAATGTGCCAAAATGTGGAATACAAAGGCCAGCCCAATTCACAATGAACAAACCACTGAATAATTCAGAAAGAAAATATACATGCACTAGTCTGTGTAAATTGTTCAGCATACCCCAACTATTTTTAAAAAGATCAGAAATTATAATCAATGTTTTTAACTTACTTCAGTTCCAACAAAAAAGTTGGTGGGGATATTCTCCAGTATTTTAAGAGGTTTGGTTGAAGGGATCTTGAATTGCTTATAAGGATTTTCGTCTCCCAACCGTTCTGGTTTGATTTGGAATTGCATCTTATCTTGAGAAGAATAAGGATACAATCATTTAATTATAGAGGGCAATTTCCTAAATCATACATCTTATTTTCCTTACTAAAGTAATTCAGGGCTGAGAGATTAGAACTTTCAAGATGAGAAATAAAGGAGGAAAGAAAATCCCAGAGAAGAGCATACACGGTTATTGCATGGAATTAAATTGTTGCCTTAAATCTAGCAGGGAGAAAAAGGTTGAGGACGTACAAATTGCCAGCAATAGGAGGCAGGCTAGTTAAGCAGTACTCTTGTAGTGTCTATGCTTGAGCTTTTTCATAAAATCTCTCACAGTTGCCCACTAGTGGCAAGGCCAGCCAGTGGTGTTTTTCTCACAGAAGGGCTACATGACACTGGTTAAAATGCCCTAGTACTTCCAATGTTGCTACCCCGGCAGAGCTATGACACTGGTCCAACAAAGGAAGTATGGTGGTCAACCATCCTGAATTAGGTGTGACAGTCTCAAAAAGAGTTCAAGTCCTGGTCCCAAGCTGAATGACTCAGGAACAGCATTTGTCCCAGATTCCCTACAGCTCTCATTCTGTGTCTTCTGAGGCTCAGGGGCAGTGCCAGCCTCTTTGGGGTCAGATGACTTTGGCCTTAGGCCCCACCCCTGCTCTTCCTTTTACCCCTGAGTCCCTCCCCCCAGCTAAACTGGAAGCTGGAGCCAGGTCATGATAAGAGGTGGCCAGGGAGTCTGGGCTACTGTGGTATGGGACCATGGGCTGGGGGCTGCCCTTGGGCATGCCCCCTCCTGCCTGCACCCAAGGCAAGTGGAGGCCCACAACTTAGTGAGCTTGTAGAACTACACGTAAATTTGTTTTTTAAACCAACTATAGTCAGTAGTGGACAGCTTGTAAATCTGATCCAGCACATCTTAGTAACAGAGTTGTAGCATGTCAGAGTCATTGTGGTAATGATTTCCAAAAGTATTTTTAAGAAAATTTGTTGTACCGTTAGTACTAGTTTGCTCCAAATCTTATCAACTTGTCTGATGATCTTTCATCCTTCCAAAGCCTCCTTATCCCCCTTTTGTTGCCCTTCCCATCCTCCAAAGACTTTAATGATTTTTCAATATTTTCATTTTGATTGCTTCTTTATCAATGCAGGTAGCAAGGATGGTCTACAGTTAGCACATTAGCATGGGACTAAGAAGAACTGGATTCAATTACCTGATGAGTCATTTACCTGTGTGACCTTGAGAAAATCACCATGGCTACATCTACACTGCAGGCTTCTTGCGCAAGAACTGTTTTGCACAAGAGTTCTTACGCAAAAGGTCTTGTGCAAGAGTGCATCCACACTGCCACGTGCTTTTGGCAAGAGATGTGCTTTTGCACAAGAGCATCCATGGCGGTGCGGGCGCTCTCTTGTGCAAGAAAGCTCTGATGGCCATTTTAGCCATAGGGATTTCTTGCGCAAGAAACCCATGTTGCCCGTCCACACTGTCGTCTTGCACAAGAGTTCTTATTCCTCATGGGGAGAGGAATAACACTTGCGCAAGAAGCCCTCTGTTCTGACCCTTTACTGTAAATTTACTTGCGCAAGAACGCATGTGCAGTGTAGGCGCTCCGCAAGTTTTTGCCATTCTTGTGCAATGGCCATTCTTGTGCAAGAAGCCTGCAGTGTAGACGTAGCCTTAGGCTTTCTGTGCTTCAGATTATCTTTGTATAAAACAGGGGCAATAGCATTTCTTCACCTTTGAGAGGATAAATACACTGAGGATCATGTGGTAGTGGCACTGAAATACTATGGTATTGGAAGCCAACAGTACTTCTTAAGATACAAAGACATCTCTCTGAATATTTTCTCTGAAATTATGGACTAATAAGGAGACACTTTCTGATTCAAAATGAGCAACAAGAAGACTTGCCGCAGGAGTAGAAAATTACATAAGGAAAGATTAATTTAAAAACTCCCAAACTAATGAATTTCTAACAGTGGCTCTGGAGCAGATTGCACATGGTGTTGCCCAATGCTCAATTCACTTTGTTACCAGTAGGTACTACTGGGGGAAACAGCTTGCTAGTATAACTTCTGAGAATTGATAACCTGTGATCATTTGGTAGTGAATTCTGTTCTTTTCATTCTGTTTGTGTTCACTATAGCCTTCAGTGCCATACACCATTACATTTAGGAAAACTGATCCATTGGTTACAGTGCATTTATGTTGCTTAACTTTTATTCTATATACACAGAAAATCATCTTACCAACATACTTATCTCAAAAATATACACTGGATATTTTACCTGGTATTTTGTAATGGAAATGCTCATCCTCAAGGCTAATTTTGGTAGGACTATAGTCTCCACTTGTGGCGCTCTTGGATAGGTTTACCTGTTTAGTACAAAGGAGTGTTTGATAACTCATTTTGTCCAATACTTGAGGCCTACTGCTAAATGGCTTTCTAATGTAATGGTACAGGTGTGTCAGTGTGAAGTGCATTCTTCAAATTCCATACATTGTGCTTCTGTCTTCTCCTTCCCTAGCCGTGGGAAAACTGTGACCTCAGTGGTCTAGTCTGCATTATTCTTTTCTCCCTAAAGTTTCTCAATGCTGCCACTTCAATGTCAGCTCCACTGGTGGGAGCCCTAGTGGCCACCTGTGTTTTAACAAACATATCTCCAAACCTTCTCTGAGCAAGATAGACAATCTGGTGGTAAAAATGCTGCTATATACTACAAGTTCCACTATAGCTTATGTTTATTCAGAAATTACTAGGTTATATTAAAGTTCTTGTAAGCCAGGACTTGTTTCAATCAGGGCACATTGACCCCCAGAAAAAAATCAGTTGTGGGTCACACACAGCACCATTGGGGTTCTGCTAGAGCCAGAAATAACATGTGGGAGGAGGCTCTGGGCTGGGACAGGGTGTTGGGGTCCAGATTCTGGCTGAGGGGGTTGGACTGGAGATAAGGAGTTTGGGGTATGGGAGGGGATTCTGGATAGGGACCAAGAGGTTTGGAGTGCAGGAGGGGGCTCAGGGCTGGGACAGGGGGATGGAGTGTGGGAGGAGGTTTGGGATGCAGACTCCAGGGGGGAGTTTGGGTGCTGCTCAGGGCTGAGGCAGTAGCTTCAGGGGGCAGGTTCCAGCTGGGCGGTATTTACCTCAGACAGCTCCTGGTATGTGGCAAGAGGACAAAGTCAAACTCCCTGCCTGCCCTGGCTCCAGCTGCTCCCATACGCGGCTGACAGCATGCTTCTAGCTGGAGAAGCAGCCTGTGCCTGCAAGTGGTGCCCACATAGCTCCCAGTGGATATGTACCCCCAGCCAAAGGGAGCTGGTGCTGGGGGTACAGCCACATGGAGTTGCCCTGTTAGCCCCTGCACCTAGAGACGTGACAGCTGCTTCCAGGAGCCATCTGGAGTCAACCAGATTTCTACCTAGCTTCTCCACTGAAGCAGGGCGAGTCCGCACTTATGGCTTCTGGCCTAAGTGCTGGATGGGGAGAGATGCTGAGGTTTAGGGCTTCCATCCTGGAGTGCAGATATCTGCTGTAGGCCAGATGAAGTTAAGTAGCAAGTCGGATCTGACAGTGTATTGTAAGTTCCCTATCTCTGTTGTAAGCTAAGTTTGGAAAGTATTTGTCCTGTTCTATTGTTGTAGTGATGAAATATGGTCTTCCCCTACTGTAACCACAACAGAATTCAAAGGAAAACCATATTAATGTGAACATTTATATGGAAAGATTTGGTAGAGTGAGCTTGCATGCACTCACCCTACCGCAGTGGCTTCTTTCCTGCAGGTCTGGATCTGGCTCCCTACTCTGGGCATTGTGACCTGGTATGTATGGGGTTATAGTGCCACTCAGGGTTGGCTGGTGGGAGTATGGAGGCAGAGTGTGCTTCTGCAGGTGGCTGCTGCTCTGTCTACAGGGCAAAGAGGCACCAACAATGAAGGGATTTAGGCAGGTGTGGGCAGTAAAAAGGTGGTGGCCAGCCAGGGTTTGTCTGTGGTGGCCCACTGCCACTATATTTACCTGCACCTCCACAGGTATCAAGCAGTCACAGCTCTTGTTAGCTGAGGATCACCATTCATGGCCAATAGGAGTGGCAGAATGTGGTGTCCTGGTCCGTGTCACTGCCCGCTGGTCCCATTGACTGCAAATAGTGATCTGCAGCCAACAAGAGCTGTGATCGCCCAACACCCACGAAGGCGCAGGTAAGAGGACCTGCAAGGGACTAACCCCAGCAGATCAGATCCAGCCACAACCTGTTATTTGCCCACCCCTGGATTTAGGTATAGTGTCTCTAAGGAGGTGTAACTGAATTTTCATACCTGTGCCTCTATGCACTTTCCCTCCTAAAACCATAACTTTTAGTAAACTTACTATGATTGTGATTTTTAATTAAAAAATGTGCTGACAACTGTACAGGCCTATAAATTGCATACAGTACCTTAATGAGAGGTCTCCAGGAGAGATCTAGATGTTTAAATGTAGTTGGTACATCAGGGGGAGCCTCAATAACCTTCTCCTCTTTTGGTTTCTCAGCTGAATTCTGGATGGCTGTTTTGGGGGCTCGAAGATCCCAAAAGAATATGGAGCTCCACAAAACAAGATATTGTAGATCATTGTTCTTCATATGCTTAATTATCATTTTAACGTTTCAATAAGCTTTTATATAATATTTGGTTTTTTATCTTCAATATTAGAATAGCAATAGATGCAAGAGTTTGGGGAATAGAGAAAGTTTATAGCTTCTTTTGTTCACTGGGACATATAGTTACTCCACATTTTGTCCTCAACGTCTTGTTAATCACATGCTGTAGTTAAATAAGCATCGTAGTTTGCTTAAGAAAAAAGGAGGTTACTCACCTTCCTGTAACTTACGTTCTTCGAGATAAGAGTCCCTGGGGGTGCTTCACATCAGGTGTTGAGCACCCCTGTGCTTCTCGACAGATTTTTCTGAGCAATGAATTGGGGGCCACGCATGCGCGGTGCGTGAGCCTCCCTCAGTACTATCGCGCATGCGCGGCCCCCTCTCCCTTCAGTTCTTTCTCTATCCGGAACCCGGCAAATAATATATTAAGATGTTATCATAATGGCATTCTGAAGTAGAGGGAAGGAAGGGAGGGTAGTGGAGCACCCTCAGGGACGCTCATCTTGAAGAACGTCAGTTACAGGAAGGTGAGTAACCTCCTTTTCTTCTTCCCTTGGGGGGAACATAGTATTTTCGATCAGCTTTCCTGCATGTTGGTGGGATGGATGCAGGTGTTTACCATAGGGTTTTAGCGGGCTCCAAGATGGCTGGTTTAATATGAAGTGCCATCTTTGTTGCTGTACTGGGCTGGAGGATGTTAGTGAGTTCATGTTGAGAAACCTGAACTTCTTCCATAGATATATTCAAATCAATAGCAACTCTTTTAAATATATCTTAGAAAGAGGAGAGATCATCAGTGGTATGAGTAGCAGGTGGTAACAAAGCCTGCTCTATGGCTGGGGCTGCATTTGAATGTAATATAGATGTAGAAGCTGACATCAGAGAGCAATGTCTTTAACTGTCAGTTCCCCTCACAGAGGTGTGGGGTGACCAGTTTAAAGGAGAGCAGGGTTTCGCCATATGCTTCGTCTTACATGGTCTCTTTTTATATTGTTGAGGTGGTTGATTGAACATTTGCCACGGTGGGGGGCAAAGCATAGGCCGTGGCATTCAAAAATAAGGCGCCCAGGGAGCCATTTGTGCTCTAAGAAAATCTGGTTGTTGCTGATAAGCAGACCATGTAGAGCCCTCCATTTATGGCTGAGGTGAAAAAACAGGTAAACATTCCTCCTAGTCCTCAGAGAGGGGGAAGGGAAAATCAGAGAATGGAGATTGAGGATGTATGTTATCAGTCAAATTATGCAAATGTAAAGTGGGAGAGATTGCCAGGTCTTTGTGGTCCTTGTGGCTAATGAGGGGAGTCTCACTGAGCAGCGCTCTTGCCCCTAGTAATGGGAGAGGGGGGCCAGCACCCAGCGGTTGGTCTGTGAGGGGATTCCTCGATGCTGTGATAAGAGTGGGAATATCTCCTATGGCCCATGGTAGGGCAAGCATTGACATGTCAGACAGCGTGGAATGGGAGGCAGGCACGGGAAGACCTGTTGCCTCAGAAAGGGCAAACATTTTGGCATTTTTATTGCCCTTTTTGTGCTCACCCAAAGCGGTTATTACCTGAGCAGTGTGTCTTTCTCCCCTCAGCAAGCCGCTTTCTGGGCTGCTGACTCAGAGAGCTCCAAAGCGGTTATTACCTGAGCAGTGTGTCTTTCTCCCCTCAGCAAGCCGCTTTCTGGGCTGCTGACTCAGAGAGCTCATCCCTGCCTTTGATGGCTTAGGGGACGTTTGCCTCATAGATATGTTGCTCAGACCTGAGCCTGGGTCAGAGGTATGGTGTTTGTCCTTGTCAGAGAAGGACATTTTAAGTAGCAGCTGTCTGTCTTTGCGTGTTTTTGTCTTAGCGCAGTTGGTGACAGGCATTAAATTCTTGCAGAGCCTGCAGCTTTCAAAGCCAGGTGGTTGGAGATAGCTGTTCAAGACTGTAGGCAGTTGGGTTTTTTTCTTAAAACTAACTCTAAACAAGTAAATTAGCTAACTACTAACAGGAACTGTGGAAATAAATTAACTCTAAACAACTATTTGAGGAAAGAAGTTTGTGAGGAGAAATCTTTGTGAGAACAGGAGAGTTCTGTCTGAAGCTGGGGGGCAGTAGAAAGAAACTGAAGGAAGGGGGGGCCACGCATGCGCGATAGTACTGAGGGAGGCTCGTGTGCACTGCGCATGCACGGCCCCCAATACATTGCTCAGAAAAATCCATTGAGAAGTGCTGGGGCGCTCTAAACCTGATGTGGAGCACCCCCAGGGACGCCTCTCGACGAAGAACTACATACTTAGTGTATGAAATGTGCTCCATTGCAAAGAGCCTAATTATTTAGTCTGGGAACAAGTCAGCTATGCAAGCCCACCCTCCTCAGCTGCTATTCCAGTTTCTGGGTTGGAACTGCATATACAGCCTTGCCAGCCAACTGAAGAATATAAAAAATGTCAAACCTGATCAAACTCCAGGGCCATCTAGATCAGCATCCTGTCTCTGAAGTAGTGGCTGCTTCTTGAACTAAATGAGCTATACTGGCAAAAGGATCATGTGTGGGTCGAACTATATCTACACTGTGGCTTTTGCAGGTTTAGAAATGTCAATTAAAAGCCACACTGATGTTACTATTCAAGCAAAAGTTTGAAGTATAGACATGGCCTTAGGTTATTTAGTAGTATTTAAATGCAGTTCTCAGGCCTTCCAGGACAGCCTATGTGGGGCCAGCCCAGATACTTTTTTCCAATGGCACAGGGAGAGCATGAAAGCAACCCTGTAAAGCTGCCCAGCTACTAGACTCCACACACTGCCCCGATGTGGGGCTTCAGTGGTGGGTGGTCTGTGTGCTGACTCTGTCACAGGCTGAATTTCACCTATTCCAGACAGCTATGTAGGGATTCAGAACTTGGTTAGTCACACTACAGAGTATATGCTGAAACATTTAGCAGAGAGAAGGAATAAGGTGTATTTAAAAGAAGTTTCAAGGGAATTCAGGGAATGTTTTGTGATTGTTTATGCCTATGAAAACATGTAAAATGTAATACCAATCAGGAGAGCAGGTGATAAGCTGTACGCAAACTCCAACTCTGTTTTCAAAAGTAATGCCCATTCTGTTAACCTAAAATAATAATAAATAATAATAAACAATATTTTTATCAACAAAACTACTCCTTCACTGTCAGTAAAATAGGCTTTAAGAAAGTCTCTCATTGGTGGCTGCAGCTGTGCAAGTCAGAGTTCACTTGTCCCTTGATATGACAATGGAACAAACAAATATTACCAAAACCAGCATACTCAGGGGAGTGGATAGACTTGTCAGGACTCCGGGCAAGGTGAAGAGGCTCTGCTCTGCGATCCCAGAAGGGGTGGGGCCTCAAGTGAAAGGGACAGAGCTGGGGTCAGCCAGCCCTTAGGGCTGCACACAAGGCCCCAACCAGCTGGAGTGCACCATGCGACGTTAAAGTGCAGCAGGGGAGGTTTAGATTGGACATTAGGAAAAAATTCCTAACTGTCAGGGTGGTCAAATATTGGAATAAATTGCCACGGGAGGTGGTGGAATCTCCCTCTCTGGAGATATTTAAGAACAGGTTAGATAGACATCTGTCAGGGATGGTGTAGACGGAGCTTGGTCCTGCCTTGAGGGTGGGGGGCTGGACTCAATGACCTCTTGAGGTCCCTTCCAGTCCTATTATTCTATGATTCTATGTTCCAGGGCCAATTTAGAGGATACTAAGTCAATAATATCTTGAACAGAACCAGATGCAGAAGTGATCCCAGCAAAACCCCATTCATTATGCCCTTCATGTATGACTGTAAACCGTTGATAACTATGTCTGGGAATGGTCATCCAACCAGTTATGCACCCACTTTATAGTACCTCCCTCTAGGTTGTATTTCCCTGATAATAAGGTCAGCTACATAACTGAGTCAGCTGTAATAAAAAATTGAGAGTGGAGTGTTCTATCCCAAAGTACAGTGAGCATGAGACTCGACTTTGGCAGTCAGAAATAATGAACCCAAGTACCACTGAGATTATTACAAATAATTCCATTTTGTCCCACATGATCTGTAGTTCATGCACTGATTTTATTAGTGGTTTGGAAAAAATAGAAAGTAATCAAATATCAATTGAAACTCACCTCAAAATAGTCTGGCAGCCAGTGTATATCTGTTATTACTGTTTTATGGCCATATTCAATGGAAGAGACTGCACAGTATCTCACAAAATGTGGTTCCTTACCACTCTGTTGTGCTTGTATAAACGTTGGCTAGAGACATTTTTAAAAGATACATTTTAAAAGGTATGTTTTGCAAAATACATTAGTTATCAAAGTAAAAAAAAGTAAACCTCACATATAGTTAATGTCCCTTTGCAGTATTTTACTTCAATCTAGAAACCCTTCTAGAGGTCTGATCTGAAGTCCATCAAAGTTAATGGAAAGTCTCAGATTTGAATTAGTCCCTGCCATACCATACTGTGAAAAGTATATCCAAATTGCTCCACCCACCTCCAACATAGCATTATTTCTTCCACTGTACTCTCAAGCCTTCCTTCTAATTACCTACTTTGTATCCTCTTTCCATTCTCATCTTCATGCATTCTTCCAGAGCACACACTCTGCCTGGAATGATCTCCCTCCTTCCATGAACCAAACCACCTTACTGCTATCCTTAAATTTGACCTTTAAAACACACATCTGCATACACTTGTAGCACTGACTAGGGGATTATATTGATTTGATCCATTCAGTAACTTCCTGGGGATAGAATTGATGCTCAATAAATAACAATGCCATATTGTATCTCTAGTCTGTATAAATTATAGTATTATTAATCCGGGTTCATGATACAGATATGAGATTTTGATAAAGATTTATATTGTTGCCTCATGTATTGGAATACAAACGGTTTAGTTACTACTTCGTTGCAGGCCTACATTTTCAGCCTGCATCCCTATTACCATATTTATTTCCAAAAATTGTTTTTATATATATATTCTCATTAGGGTATATTTTAGCACTAGTCACAGAACTCAAGTACTAACCATATTAACAGCAGTATTCTTGCGTCCGCTAGCACCAGTTTTAGCATTCTGCAGCTTCTCTTCATACTCAGAAATGTCCCACAATACAACCTATTAGGATAAATAAATGCCATTACAAAGTCATTTTTCTGTTTATCTGATACATTAAAACATACTTCTGAACTATAATAGGAGCACTGAGTCTATAAAGAGGTAGGCTACGTTCTGTGCCAGAACCAGAGGATGGTGGGTTTTTTAAAAAGGCTTACCTCTGCAGACCCTCACTGTAGCAGTCTTGTGCAAGAGACTGCAAATCCTAGAACCAGCTGAGTCAGTTAACAATTAGCCTGTGCAGCTTGTCACACTGATCAAGCGTTTCAGAGTGTCACCTTTAAAGTGACTGTTATGGCTATGGACTGAAAAACCCCAGCTTCTATGACATCACATCCTTAGGACTCAAAAAAGGATTAGATATTTTTATGGATGATAATATTTACTGATATAATAAAACATCATGTGGGATATAAACTTTCATGTTTCATAAACCACCAAAACTGATGAAAGTTGGGAATAAAACTTCCCCTATCCATAAAAATGTCTAATTATTTTCTGAATTGTACTAATCTCCTGCAGTCCGTAATACCTTGTGGCTCTACAGGTGGTTAATGTGTTGTGTAAAGAAGGTATTTCTTTATCTGTTTAAATGCATTTCCTTTCAATTTCATCGTATGTCTCCTTGTTTTTATTTTATGGAGAGTATACAGGGATGCCAAACTGTATATTCCCTACGAAATTTATAATTTTTTATATCCTCTCTCATGTCATGTTTTATTGATTTCCTCTCTAGAACTGAAAAGCAGGAGAATTCTAAATATGGGAAGCATTCATCTTCTAAAGCCAGGATGAAGTACAAGCAGGGAAATGACTGTGGACATACCCTGGTGCCAGTGGTAACAGACACTCAGGTGCAAAGAAAAGCCCACAGTTCTGCCATATGAAAGATGAAGGATAAGGTCAGTATAGCCCTGCCTAAAGACAAGACTCTATTGAAACCATGAAGAAATTATGATCACAGACTGCTTTGGTACTGTTTATAGCAAGGAAACTGGACAGAACTGCTATTCTAGATTCCTCAGAAAGTCACAAATTATTTACATGTTCTCCTCCTTTATTATATATGCAGCTTCTGACAAACTAAGGGAAACTGTTTAGAGCAGCTCCACAGGACAGTCTCAGTTTGGAAAGAAATCTTATTTCTCAGTGGTACTATCCATGTGCACCATGAATTACAAGGTTCTGATGGCATTTTATGTGGTTTCTTGCACCTTCCTTTGATATCCCTGGGCAGAGAGGATACTGCACTAGACAGACTGCTGATCTGATCAGTCACGGTAACGGTTGTTGGTTTTTTTAATTAACTGTTTTCAGTGGATGAAAATGCTGTTTTTGGAATCAAGAGGCTTAGATACGTCAGAGCAGGGGTCTCAAGCACCTAGCCCATGAGCCAATCCTAGCCAGAGAAATTGCACAGTCCAGACCAGGAGTCCCAGCGGACTGGAGTGGGGGCAGGCTGTCCATTACAGGAGTTAGGTGCACTTGCTCTACTACAATCTATTTCTGCCGCAGCTCCTGCCACTATGGGGAATGCGGGGAAGGGGAGGGGACACAGTTGCTGCCACTGCACCCTACCATGCTCCCACCAGTGATCCCCAAAGCTGCATGCTTGAGGAATAGGGCATCATGGAGTGTAGAGGGTGGGGTAATGGTGGAAAGAGGTGGAGTTTGGGGGCCAGTAATGGACAGCCTCCTCCCCGGTTGACCAGGGATCCCAGGCCGGATTGCGCAATCACTCCAGCCAGGATTGGCCTAAGAGCCAGGAGTTTGAGACGCCTGGTCTAGAGCTTTCAGTTAGCTTAGCCACTTAAATATGAGAAGTAGACATTTTTAATCAACTCAGACTTGAGTCCCATTAGTAATTCTAGGACATAAAGAACAGCATGCAATGCTCCTAGGAGTGGCAATATGCAATGTCAATTCTATGGAGGAGAAACGTGAGTGACTCATTCTGATAAGGTGACCAGACATCCTCCTTTGAGGACAGTCTTCCTTTTGAGGGGCTTGTCCTCCCCAATAATTATGTCCTCCTTTTGTCCTCCTTTGAAAAAAATTGTCCTTCTTGTCCTACTTTGCCAAAAAAATATATCCTGCTGTTTTTTAAAGTATCATTATACTGCAGTTGAACCCCTGTTAAAAGGCTTAATATACAGTAAAAGTACACTTAGAGGGTATTTATGAAATGTTATTATTTTGAGCCATTTTAATTTAAAGTCAGTGTGATTTTTTTTTTTAGTTGACACAATTAACCCTAAAAATGTCAAAGAAAAGAAAATGCCATTTCAACGAGAATTTAAAAAAGGAATTTCCTTTCATCAGAATTGTGGATGAAACAAGAGATGATTCATTAGTGAAGTGTACTGTCTGTTGGATGGAATTCAGTGTGGCAGTAGGTGGCTGATCCAGCATAACAAAGCCTGTTTCATCGAACAAACATCAATATTCTTTAACATGGGCATCAATGTCCCAGAAAGTTACAGACTTCTTAGGAAGTTCATCATTTGGAGAAGACGTAAAGAATTTAGCAGCTGCCGAAGGTCTGACTGTGTACCACACTGTGATGCACAAAGTTTTTGGAGCATAGACTGTACGTCAAAACTAAATGGAGTACTTTATAATAAAAAATTCCATTGTGCCAGAACTAAACGAGAGGCTATTATTCGCAATGTTTTTCAAACTTACGCACAAGAGAATTTGAATAAAGATTTAGATGAAGCTAAATTTGTTACACTTCTTTCGGGTGCTTCAAACCACAAAGATATAAAGTTGTATCCGTTGTTAGTTCGTTACTTCAATTTTGAAAATGGTATTCAAATCAAAGTTTTGAATTTTGAAGCAATTGATGTGAGACATCTGAAATAATATCCAATCATATCAAAAAATTAGTGGATAATCATAATTTGAATGATAAAGTTATTGTGATGTGTGCCGATAACACAAATACTAATTTTGGCGGTATAAATCGCAAAGGCAATAAAATTGTTCATAAGAAAATGATGCATTTACTTGGGAAAATGATTATTGCAATAGGTTGCAATGCCCATGTTGTATCTAATGCCATCAATACAGCATCAAGCTTAATGTCCATCGATGTTGAAGTTGTGATACCTCAAATTTATTTACATTTGAATGATTCACTGTAAGAGTTATATCATTAAAGACTTTTTGCAAAGAAGCCTCAGTTGAATATAAAAAACTGTTGGGATATTCAAAAACAAGATGGTTAGCTTTAATGCCAGCCATTGAACAAGTGCTGCAATTGTTCAAGATTTTAAAATCATACTTTCTAAGTTTGGAAAAATGTCCACTGATTTTGAAAAACTTTTTTAAGAATGAATCTGCTGAAGTAACTCTGTATTTTGTTCACAACCAAGCAACTGTGTTCCAATCAGCTATAAAAAGTATTGAAAAAGCATATAACTTCTACAGAAGTGGGTTTGCATATTAAACAATTAAAGGAGCAACTTCAATCACGTCTTGAGTCCAACTTCTTTCCATTGGTTGTAAACAAATTACAAGAGAGCAATCTGGGAATGAAGAAAGAATTTACGAGGGAGACAATGAGCTTTTATAAAAATGCTCTTGAATATCTAGAAAATTGGACTAAACATGACGAACCAGTGTATGTGTTTGATTGGATTCTGCTGAATGAAGAAATTCAATGGAATAAAATCCTTGAAACAGTTTTATTCGTTAAAGAAAAATTTAGCATCACAATAAATGACAATTTATTGTTTGACAAAGTACGAAGAATTAACAATATAATAAAAGACAATGAATGGACTGAACGCGAAATTGATAACTATGGATCGAGATTTTCATTTCTTAAGAGTGACAAATATTGATATTTTTAATGTTATATGATTGTTTTTGTTAAGTCTGTTTGTCTTATAAGATGACTAATATCGTGATCATTTATTTATGATGATGATTTATATACATATACAAGTATGTTTTTTTTGTCAACTCAGTGTCCTCCTTGCACATTTTCAAATTCTGGTCTCCTTAATTCTGATAAATTAGCTAATTAAACAGCAAAATATATTAATGGGGGGGAGAGGGAGAGAGTTTGAGGATCTCTGTCTTAATAATTGTCCAGAGCATGAGGAATTTCCTCAGATAAGATAATGCCTATCCTATCAGCATTATTTGGTGTGGAATATTTTATTGTGCTGTAAAACCTTTCTCACTAGGGGAATTTAGACCCAGACATAGGTAGGGAACTACTATGAATATAGTTCCTTAGGAAACTGAGAAGGAACAGGAGAGCAGGAAATAATGTGCAAGAAATGGGATTTTCTTGTAGATACTTAATTATCCATGGGTTAAGAGACATCATTGCCCTATAAGGGTACAAACCCTGTTTCACTACCACAGTAGGCTCATTTGTACAGAATCCGTGGGTGCTGAAACCTGGGAAATTTTTCCACAAGTGGTGGTGTGATTTAGCCATGTGTATTTTGACTGTGTATCATTAGTTTATATAAACATCCGAGTTTGCTTCCATGCTGCATTTCCATTTGTTGTAGAACACTAAATATTCACTATTTAGTGCAGATATATTATGGTGTAAATAGTAGTAAATTAAACTTCAAAATGAAGATTTAGTAGATCAATATAGAAAATAAGGGAATTAAAAAGAATGGAACTAATACCTGTCCATTAATACAGCCTCCAGCAATAATATTGGGATCAGATGGACAGAACTCAAAGCAGTAGATATCTTCAGGACACTCCAGCATTAACTAGTAAAATAATAATCATTTGATAAATACAGCCATGTTGCAAAGATTGTTTTTTGTTATTGTTTGTACACTTTGAATATTTTTAAATCTGATTTAAATACCTGAGGGTGAATAGGGTCAGAGAAACTCCAAAAAAGAATTGGTGACTTCTGCAACAGCAGTTTACCAGACTGGGTAACTCTTTCTTCATAAGAAAGCCGCTCTGTTACTGACACTGCTATAATCCCTGATCGAGAGGAAAACAATCTCATCATTGATAAAGGGAAAATTTTAGCACTTATAAAAATTGCTATGCTCATCTCAAGTGTTAATGGCTCTGTTAATTATTGCTTTATAGGTGTCCTTAAAGGAAAAAAATTCACTAGGTCTCTTTTTTATACATATTGGCTATGTCTACACTGGCACCCTTTTCCGTAAAAGGGATGCTAATGAGACACTTCGGAATTGCAAATTCCGCGGGGGATTTAAATATCCCCGGCGGCATTTGCATGAACATGGCTGCCGCTTTTTTCCGGCTTGGGGTTTTGCCGGAGAAAAGCACCAGTCTAGATGGGATCTTGCAGAAAATAAGCCCTTTTCCGGAAGATCCCTTATTCCTACTTGAATAAGGGCTTATTTTCCGCAAGATCCCATCTAGACTGGCACTTTTCTACGGAAAAGGGTGCCAGTGTAGACACAGCCATTCATTTTTCCCACTATAGGTCAATTTGAAAGCAATAATTTTAGCTAATGAATTATTAGGTTCCTTATAAAGGAGTGGCAGAAGTCCAAGACCAGAGTATAACTCAATATTTTAGCTTAGAGTTGTTAATTGTAGTCTCAAACCCAGAATAATGTGACAGACATGGTTATTCTCTCAGGCACCCATTATGAAACCAATTTCTTTGTTATACTTAGAAATAAGACAGATTTCCTGTGCATCCTGCAGTGCTGGCTATTGTGTATGCTCCCAGCTAGGCTGGAGCACAGTTGTGCCTTCAGTGGAATGTGTGAAGCTGCAACACAGCAAAGGGAGCATTGGGAATGTCTCCTGATGCTCCCTGCACTCAGGTGGAGCCACACCCACCCCTTCATGCTATGGCATAAAGTTTCCCACACAGCCAACTGGTGAGGAGATGGTGAAAAAGAAGAGGGCCCCCTGGAACAGTGTGTACTTCTGGGAAAGAATGAGAAAACAATTAAGCACAACACAATTAGCATGTATCTTCACAGCGCCCTTAGCTTGAAATAAGCTACTCAATTTGCACTATGCAAATTGCATAGCTTATTTTGATGCTATTTCGAAATAGCTTATTTCATAATTTGGTGCTGTCTACACAGTGCCAAATTTCAAAATACTGCGCTATTCCAAAATTCCTCTATTTTGAAATAATGAATTGCTTCAATAGATGTGGAGTAGCTTTTTTGGGATATTTCTGGTATCCCAAAATAGCTCCTCAGTGTAGACATACCCTAAGAGTCCCTTGAAATGGGTCTCCCCAGGGGGAAATTTCCTTCCTCTGTATATTCCTAATATACACTTGTATAAGAAAATATGTGGCCTGTTACCTCTTTGAGTTCTACACACTATCTGTTCATGCCCCACTTCATTTCAAATCAGGGATTTCCACATTTAAAAGCCAATAAAACCTTATCATTTAAACTTTAGAGCTCTCAAACTATACCTCAGGACATATCAGGCATGAACTAAATATTTATAAGCATTACCGTTAATGGCTGGGTGCCAGCAAACACAGCTAACTGTTCTATCCTTTAGATAGTGCAGGTCTGTAAACGATTGGTATTCCTTCAGGTAAGCATCTGACTTGCCACCAAAGGCACTTTCATCTTCCGCTAATGCTTTCCAGTCATCAAAAAAGACGTTGATAATTTCATTCTGCTGCAATGCTATTTCCACTCTGTTTATGACAAAAATAGTTAATATTTAAAAAAATGTAAGATGTGATAATTCCATGGGATACTTGTCTGCTAATTCATTAAAGAAACATATGGCATTTAAAAATTATGACCATATCACCAAAAGTGGTATGCACAATGGTTACCCAATGCTGATCACTACTCTCAAGAGAGCCCTTCACATTCAAATACACTTCAGAAAATAGATATACCATGCTATCACATCACTTGTGGGTGCTCAGATAGCTCTGAATTCAGAGGATTTGGATTAGGTTCTTAAAGTGTACTGTCCAATCCTGGAACCCTTACTTACATGAGGAGCTCCAATGATGTCAGTGGATTCCTAAAGTGAGTAAGAGCTGTAGGACTGGGCTCTCACAGTTTATAGTTCCTTCTTCTGCTTAATCTTTCAGAGGAGCCATAGGGCCACATCTTCAGGTGTTATTAAAAAGATGTAACTCTGACTTCACTAGACTAAGTCCATTTATGCCAGTTGAGGAGCTCGCTCATAATTATTTCTTTGCCCAATAAAATTTATTTGTCATTATTTGTATTACTTATTCCCATGCAAATGAATGTGGCTAGGAGGATATAGAAACTTAGGAACTGCACCACTGCTTCATCTAGAGCAGTATTTAGTCTCTGACAGTGACCAATGTCTGATGCTTCCGGGGAAGGTGTTAAAGTCCCTTTAATGGATGGGTATACCGTATATAATAACATTACTATGAAGAAAGTACTTCAATGATTAGCAAAAGTGATATTGTTATAGAGTATGGAAAAAAAACACAAAACAAGTGAGGTGTATATTTTAAATTTCAGATGTTTCAAAGTTTCTGTCGGTTAAGTTTTTAATCATGGCTTAACAGCTGACTAACTTGTTCTTGAAATTTGAAACCACCTTCCACAAAGCACATCAGAAGAGCATCAGTTAGGTACATCAGAGAAATTCAGTTTTTTGTCTTGGTTTTAAACCTAATCGTTATAAATGTATGTATGTTATGACACCTCCTGTATTGTTTTGTACCATTTTACTGAAGATAAACTTTAATGTATGTTATTGCAACTTTTTACCTTAAAAATACTGAGATAATAAATTCTTTCAGATCCTCAGATGACAAACACAGCTCTTTTTCTTCATCAGAGAACTCTCTAGGAAAATACTGTGTGGCTGCATTTCTTGGATAAGTCCTAAGAAATTTGGAATTAATTTTAACATAGTTAAGTTTGAAAGATTTTTTTTTTTAAAGAAGCCTTATGACAGGAGCGAATGAGAGTTTTGCGGGGCCCCCCTTTGGAGAAAAAAATAGAAAAAAGGCGTCAAATGTGCAAATTGAAGGTTATTTTCATATTAAATGTGAATTGAGTCAATTTGATAGAAACTTAATTTATCTGGATATTTTTATTTTAATTATATTGTAAGTCATTTTTAAATAAAATTCTGTATTAATAATTAAACATTTTCATTTGTATTTAAGTCTCCTCCCCCTCTTGCCTCACTCTCTCTTTCTCTCCTCCTCCCCCTCCTGCCTCTCACTCTCTTTCTCTCTTTCTCCTCCCCCTCCGGCCTCACTCTCTCTCTTTTTCTTCTCCTCCTCCTCCTGCCTCTCACTCTCTCTCTTTATCTTCTTCTCCTCCTCCTGCCTCTCTCTCTTTCTCTTCTCCTCCTCCTCCTGCCTCTCTCTCTCTTTCTCTTCTCCTCCCCCTCTTGCCTCTCACTCGCGGAGCCCAAACAGCCGTTTGGGCCCTGTGTGGTGGCCCAGCTGAGCGGCGCAAAACTCAGCCGAGCGCCACAGTGGGAGGCAAAGGGGGGTGGGGCAGTGACGTACATGACCAGGGGGTAGGACTTGGAGCTTCTGTCATGCCCTTTGCCTCCCACCGTGGCACTCGGCTGAGTTCTTCACTGCTCAGCCGGGCTGCCACGAGGGAGCAAGCAGCGCAAGTGGCTTTTTGGGCCCCATGTGGTGGCTCAGCGCGGGGCCTATTGCAGTGCGGGGCCCGGGGCAGCTGCCCCACTCTCCCTGCCCTATATCCGCCACTGCCATATGAAGTACAAAATGTGAAAAGCTATCTATGTTAATGTTTGCTAACGGTGGTATGGTGATTTGGTTGATTCTATTTTGGAAGAGAGGGAGAAGAATATAGATGCACAGTATTTGAAAATGTGCCCTCAGAGGACCTGATCGTGCTCTCTCTTTACAACTATAAATCCATTGACTTCAATGAGTTATTTACATAACTGTTAGTGAGCTCTGAATAAGGATATAAATTAATAATAAAGGGATTGTTTCCCTTTGTAATTACTAACAACTGGTAAATCCATTTCACACTTACCACTTGGTTTGAGTGCTCATTTCCCTTACTTTTGGAACTACTTGTGCACCAACATCTTTTTCAAGCTTCATAATGCTGAAATTATTATCCTGATATGATGTGCATTCAATGTAGCCATCTTTCACACTTGAAGCATTTCTGTCAGTAAATCTGACCTTTGAACCAAACTCTCTGCGTGTTCGAGAAATCATATATTTAATCTGCAATATACCCAAATAAGAGATTTTCTGAAATAACCATAGGGAAACTATTCCTGAAAGGAAAATCCTTTGAAGCAGTGAGATTCAGAGATCTGTAAGGTTACATCAGGTGGCTGCTTGTAAACAAATAATTCTAGGTTTTGAAATTCTGTATCCCTCTCATAAGCCCAAATTACCAATAAGTATGTGTTATAGGACTTCTGAATATTTTTTTAATTACTCCTAGTACTAAAAGGCTAATTAGCCTGTTGTCTGAGATCAAAATTGTACCTTTGCCCAAGTCACTACCTCACCTTTCTCTGGTTGAAATCTATCCTGGTGTGAGAGCCACTAAAAAGCCTATATGCAATGTAAGCCCAATGCTATGTCAGGCAGCAGATTCCAGAACATATGAAAGAGTATACTGAGTCCAATTTAAAATACATGGAAAATCCTGTTTTTCTTGGCGTTAATGGGAGTTTTGCCATTGAGTTGTTTGAAGCAGGATTGGGACATTAAGTAAGTAGAAAATTAATTACAATTATCTAAAGTATAATTTTCTTTTAAGGTCTAGCTATTTTCACCTCTCCTTTGCTATAACTGCTGTCAACATTGTGATGGCCACAAGAATTTTAGGCATAACTTTAGTCATTTAAGGAACTTCTTTAATTTTATTTTAACAGAGAATTTTGTGAGAACATTATTTTGATTGAATGACATCTATAATTTCTTACCTCTCTAAGAGATTCCTTAACTGATTCTTCTTCAATTTCCTTTTCACTACCAAGGGATACCCAAGGTTTGCGGACAGGAGGCTTATAAACGTATTCCTCTACCATTCCATCTTTAGTCTCTCCTTCTTCTTCCACTGCTTCTGGAGGCTTAAGACAAGGTAATTGCAAAGAATATTTTATACTTTTTCATATATAAAAATAAATATATTATTTAAATGTAGATAAAAACTATAGGCTCAATGTTGCCAATTCTTCTTCCCACAAATAGTCTCAATGCAGTCAATCCAGCTACTTACAGGCGTAAGGATTTGGAGGATTAGGCCCTGTCCTTTTAGCAATGAATTTTCAAACAAATACTAAAGGGACATGATTAATTTGAAAGCAAGTCAGTTTTTAAAAATGAGTTTAAAGTAGTTTCACATACGCTATCTACTCCTGAGTCGTCTATAACTAGCTAACAGAATGCTGGGAATCATTAGGAAGGAGATAGATAGCAAGACAGAAAACACCATATTGTCTATATATAAATCCATAAGAATATAAGAATGGGCAAATGGCCATCTAAACAGTCCATCTAACCCAGTATCCTGTCTGCCGACAGTGGCCAATACCAGATATCCCAATGGGAGGGAACACAACAGGTAATCCTCACGTGATCCCTTCCCGTCATCTATTTCCAGACAAAATGGTCTACTCACATCTTGAATACTGCATGCAGATGGGGGCCACCTCATCTCAAAAAAGATATACTGGAACTTAAAAAAATTACAGAAAAGAGCAACAAAAATGATTAGGAGTATGGAACAGCTTCTGTATGAGGAGAGGTTAATAAGACTGGGACTTTTCAGCTTGGAAGAAAGACCACTAAGGGGGCGATATAATAGAGGTTAATAAAATTACGACAGATCTGGAGAAAGTAGAAAAGGAAGTGTTTACTTCTTTTCAAAACACAAAAACTAGGAGTCACCAAATGAAATTAAAGGCAGCAGGTTTAAAACAAAAGGAAATATTTCTTCACATAACACACAGTCAACCTGTGGAACACTTTGCCAAAGAACGTTGTGAAGATCAAAACTATAACAGCATAGGCGGCGGGAATGGTAGGCAGGGAAGGCATAGCCTTCCCAAACCGCCAGCCTGGCTTCATCCATACTCCACCCCAGAAGCCTACTGTAGGTATACTGGGGGGGCAGAGCGTTGCTGCGCCAGCACCCGCCGTTCCCATGATCCGGGGCCAGGGAGGCTGGAACCGCCCACTCACCTCCCTCTACATGCCCCCAGGGGAGGTTTGGGCTGTGCACCGCCTGACTTCCCTGTGCTTCGAGGCTGGGGAGGCTTAGGCTGCATGCCACTTGCCCTCCCTCTGTTCCAACGCCAGGGAGGCTTGGACCACATGCTGCCCGCCCTCCCTACGCGGGGTGGGGAGAGGAAGGAGGCATGTGTGCACGGTGCACTGTCCTGTCTCACTGTGGGGGGAGCGGAGAGGTGGCTTGGCTCCCAAAGGGGGTGGAGCCCTTGACAGAAGGGGCTGGGGGCTTTTCTCCCCCAGCCCTGCCTTCACCGACCATCCATGTATAACAGGGTTCAAAAAAGAGCTAGATAAATTCATGGAGAAGAGGTTCATGCTGGGATGATATTCCTAGCCTTTGCCAGAAGCTGGCAATGGGTAAAAGAAGATGTCCTGTTCTGTTAATTCCCTCTGAAATACCTGACACTGGCCACTTTTGGAAGACAGGATACTGGGCTAGATAAACCTTGGTTAGACCCATTACGACTGTTCTTATGTCCTTATCACTTTTTTCATTTTCTATTAAAATGCTTTTATCTCTCTCCTGCTGCTGTGTGACCAATGCACATAAACAAAAGAAGAAGTTAAATAAGGCTCCAATCCTGCAGTATACTGCACTTACAAGGTCACGGGAGTCTACACAGTGGTGCTCCAGTGGAAAGTACACTGCAGAACTAAGATAACGAACTAAAGTTCCAGTCCTAGTGCAAACACTTAAGCTAGTAACCTTAGGCAAATAAATAGGTCTACTGAAATTATGTGTACAAATACTTGCAAAAGCAGGGCTTAAATGACTATACAAAAATGTTTGCAAATGTACAAAATGAAAAAAAGAAACCTTATTCTCTAATTTTTCAGTTACAGTAATTTTATGTGCTCCTTATAACAATAGAAAAAAAAATCACATCTAAATGTGACTTTCAGTTAAAAAATTAATGTTTTCCTTTTGTTTACAAATATATGAATCTGAAGTTTTTTGTATTAAAAAATATATTTTCTAAGTACAATCTGTTGAATAAATATTCTTTATTTTAAAATCTTTTAACCCATTAATTATATCTTATTTAAATGTGTCTAATCTGGAAAACTAGAGGTTTTGCACATGTGACTAGCAGTTATATGAAAAATGGCCTTCTTTACACCAATCAAGTCAATGGCAAAAATCCCATTGACTTCAATGGAGTTGGGATTTCACCCAAACTCTTGTTCAATATAAATTATAGATATATTTTTAATGTTAAGACTAATTACAATAATTTTACACTTGAAGTTAAAGTGTTTTAAATATTTCAAAGTGTGTACAATACAGATCTTCTCATATAATTGAAAAAGATCTGTACCAATCACTTAAAAAGAAGAATCAGACTAGTTGCTATTGCATTCCTAAGACTGTAGGATCTGGAAGGCTAAAGATATTTCAATACAAATTAAAATCAGTGTATAATGATATTGCAGTAAGAGACAGAATCATAGAGTATGTGGAAAGCCGATGAACATAAGATATTGACTGTATAGATGAACTGACAGAGTAATACTGAGTGTTTCAAGACTGAAAAAAATAAAACATTGCATGTAAGAACATGGCTATGTCAAGAAATAATACTGTTACAGAAGAGCCAAGAAAGACAACTGTAGTGGTTTGAACACATCAAGAATGGACCCAGAAAGGATACCAAACATGGATAAGTACCAGAGTACAAGCCACTGGAAAGAGAGGAAAATGGAGGATATATTGAATAGAAACAGTGAAAAATGACATAGAACAAAAATATTTAAAGATGACTGAGGCTGAGCTACAATGTGATGGGAACCTTTATTAATCCCCACTGTTGCTGCTGAGCTGATAGATGGGAATCAAAGACAGAAAATAAGAGACAATAGAAATCTCAAAGTGTGTGCATATGTAACATTGTGAATTATTTCAAATATGTGGAATACAGGCAGTCCCCGGGTTACGTACAAGATAGGGACTGTAGGTTTGTTCTTAAGTTGAATCTGTATGTAAGTCGGAACTGGCGTCCAGATTCAGCCGCTGCTGAAACTGATCAGTTTCAACAGCAGCTTAATCTGGATGCCAGTTCTGACTTACATACAGATTCAACTTAAGAACCCCAGGCATCCCCAAGTCAGCTGCTGCTGAAACTGATCAGCAGCTGATTCCAGGAAGCCCGGGGCAGAGGCTTCCTGTAGTCAGCCACTGGTC